CGTAAGCAACGACCACGTGAAGTTTCCAAGGCTAACTAATATAATAAAGTAAGCTCAAACCAAGGTCCGGGTTAAAAGTCTAGTTAAAGTCAAGGTTAAGTTAAGTTTAAGGTTAAAAGTTAAAGTGAAGAAAAGGTTTGAACTTCTCACTTTCTTAAAGCCCCTTAACCTTTTTTGTTCCTATCTTATATTCTTATCTCGATAGATCGTATTAGAATCTATTAAAATATAATATGGCCGGCGTCTATTAATTAGCGAAGGCGTTATCACTACCCTCGCTATTCGTCATCGACGTCACCGCACTAACGCTTTTCAACGCTACGAGCGTCGAGCCGCTTGTTACTTAAGCAGTATACAAACGCGCTTCGCTTTTAACAAAAGTAAACAGCTCTCGTACTTCTTTTTAAAAGTCTAAACTAAAGTTCAATAATAAAAAAAATCGCTAAGAATACGGCGTTTCGAGTATTATATTCCTTTTTTCGGCTTATACGCATTTAATAGCGTTAAATTATAGAGATTAAAAGAGTTGTATAAACTTCTCCCCCGCTTTAGCGAGGTTACGATATTATCTAAATCATCGAAATCCTCGATAAACATTTTTCGCAAGATGTCTTTTAGCGAACCAATACGTATATATTCTTATACTAGATTATACTCGGAAAAGAGTATTAGCTTAAGGATAAGCCGCTCGATCACCTTAAAAGTCTCGCTAAACTATTTATTTAGCATCTTTTAAAGATAACCTCGTCTTAAAAGATTCAAATACAATTTGCGTTCGCACGCTTTTGCTTCCTTAAGTCGTATGCAAATTATATTATATCTCACTCGCTCGGCCTTAACGAAAGCTCTCTTAGTTGCAAGAGGATGAGCACTAAAAAAAGGAATATACATATGACGATTAAGTGCTTTCTCGTAGATTCTTGTAACTAATCGATCTTTTACGATTAATAGCTTAACGTCCAGAAAGTAAGCTAAATGTTTAAAATATTCCTACGTAATATCTAAGCTTAATAGCTT